GATATAAGGATCTTATAAAAGGAATCTGATGATTTTTGCTAATTATCTGATTTAAAAAAATGGAGGTTAAAGCAAAACTATACTCTAAGCTGTAATTAACTGTTCATTGTCACTATCTCTGTAGGTCTTTTTTTTTAATGTTCAAACATTTTTGGCCATCCTTTAGAGGCCCTCATCAAAGTAATGACCTATCTCTGTAGGTCATTATTTTGTAAACAAAAGTACATGGATAAGTAAAATGTTCATTCATTGTTTCTATTATTTGTCATCAATGATGTCAGAAAGCTAAAAAACTGANATGTTCAAACATTTTTGGCCATCCTTTAGAGGCCCTCATCAAAGTAATGACCTATCTCTGTAGGTCATTATTTTGTAAACAAAAGTACATGGATAAGTAAAATGTTCATTCATTGTTTCTATTATTTGTCATCAATGATGTCAGAAAGCTAAAAAACTGATAATCATTGGCAGGAATCATATGACATATAGTCTCCAGCCTAATGTCATGCTTTTTACATTTCAGAATCTGGTCACTTCATACCACCACAATCTTTGTATTACCCACCCCAATGGTGAATGAGATTTTATTGCATGCCTACTGAATATCCAAACAAGTGTTTGCTGCTAACGCTATAAATATAATTCTTATTTCAAATAATCCACTAGCATGTAACAGTCAGAGCAAACCAATAGACTTTTCTATAGAGGAATGATAAAGCAATCCCTAATATACTGCTAATAAGACCACCTATCTCTCCTTCATGCTGGGCCACTATTTCTTCCTTCTATGTCCCTATATTATATGTAAACTGAGTGATCATCTTCCTCTAGAAATTTTACAAATTACATATTGGATAATATGCACAGAGGGATAATTTATGTTGAAAACTTAAATTTTATTTAACATTCACTCATCTCTATTAGTTAATGCAATAAACGTTTAAAAACTGATTGAAATTATAAATATTAATAATATTAAGCATTCATTCAATTTTGTTCAACGGCTACTGTACATCAATTAATAATCATGATCTTTTAAACAGCATGGATTTAATTCTTAATTCTTTTTAATTTTTTTTCTCCACACAGCCTCTACTTACAATCCTATCTGTATCAGACCTAGCTTAAATTGTGCAAATATACATGCATAGTTTAGTGTATTGCAGGTGGAGGTAAAAAATAAGAATGTGTTTAAATGGTCATGATACTTGCCACAGCTGTACAAGTGTATGAAGACATTTTTATATGTTATAATGGCATCACTCATAAGGACATCAAATGTAATTTCCGTTTCCTTTTGCATTATTTGGGGAATTATAATTTCGAAATAGAAACTACTGTAATATAACCATTAACAAATGGCCTTCTTCAATATTATTAAGTAATATATACTTTGCAACAAATTAATATTGAAAAACAAGCAATATTATACATATATATGTAATAAACATATCATATATAAGTTTCTTACTTCCATTGCACTGCCAATTCAGTTTTATTTACCAAAAATTATATATTATTGACTGTTAGTTTTAAATATAACTTCTGACAGAAAATAAGCATGGAGAGACGACACACACGCCCCCTTGCGCTTAATTGTAGAAACAATTGATTAAGTTATACAGTATACGGAGTAAATGCATAATGTTTATAAAATTAAAGAATTAAGCTATAAAATATCGAATATTGCATGAATAGTTTATTAGAATGATCGAAATATTACTTTATGTTAAGACTACAAAAAATAAAATATTTGCAAATAAAAAAATTAAGTCAATAATAGCAAGAGCGTAATCGTAAATTAAAAAGTGTCATGGCGCTAATTGGTAATTTGAGGTGGAGAGCATATACAATATTTTAAATTAAATAAATTTTAAAAAATATTAAACAAATACATGCAGGTTTAACCTGTATCATGTGTGAACGTTATTAATCTGCAGCTAAAGACTAATTCTACAGCAAGTGCCCATTAATATTTTAATTCATCTCGTTTTAGTATGTTAATAAAATCTGAATTTTCATAATATGAATACATATTTTGTTGCGGTAAACAAGTAAATGCGTTTCAATTAGCAGTGCAAACAAATTAAGTAAGAATGCGTTTGCATATAGAATGATAATTAGCTTTAAATGTATAGAGGAAATTAATTAGATTCATTTTAAAATATTTTTATCAGGTAGAGTTTCGGTCGATGGAAGCAAATGTCATTATATAAATCGCAATTTTCAGTAATTTTCCATTACGTTCTGTTTCATACATTCAGAAACAAGAGAAACATGAATTCGAATGGCGAAGAAGTTTGCATGAATTGTTTCCTCGAACCCTGTTGGACAACAATCCTCATTTTTGGATTGGATCCATTTGAAATTTGTTCCTGTAATCAGCCAATTAACGAACTTAAATGTTTGAAATTGAAAAAGATTTACATTAACATTGTTCAGTTGATATTCTGGCAAATCACTATTCTTTTCTTATGGCAAACGTTACCGGGATTAGGTGAATACGCGTTGTGTCTTGGATTGTATGATGCATTTAAAGGAAATGTTGCTATAATTAAGCCTACATTTCTACTTATGTGGCTCACGTGTTCAATCATTCTAACATTTTCCAGCCGCAACAAGATCAATCTAATAATCAGGTTAAGAAATAGATTCTTCTATGAAAAAATGATTCTCGAGAATAACGCTCTACTGAGAAACGTCTCTCTTTATGTGTCTTTGATTGTCATCACATTGGTAATTGGTTTTCAAACTTTAAATTTAACTTTGTATTATCCTGCTTTAGTAAAGAAACAACACTTTCAATTTGAATCTCTGCTATGCATTGTTGGAACTGGAGCTGGAACAATTTTTCTTACAGGAGGAGTATCACATGTTTTACTCTTAGCTGCTTTAATGCTCTTTATCTGTCATAAAGAGTTCGAAGAACTTCTTCGCGAATTGCTTTCGATAAAAAGAACCGACAGAAATGTGAAAACAAAATTAGAAAATTTGATGATTCGTCATCAAGAATTGTGGACTTTTATCAATCAGTTCAACACAAAATTCAAAATCGTTGCCGTTATTCTTTACTTCGGAATAATTTGGGGAACGAGCTTTACCTATTACGCCTATTTGCATCTTAATATGCATGGGTATTTTAAAATTTCGATCTTCGCGTTGATGATTATTTCATCACTCATTTGCATTATTGGTGGCTGTATGCTGTGCTGCATCGCTTTTACGGNGTGGTGCCTCGTTTTACATTTCATGATCTGGTCGCTTCATACCACCACAATCTTTGTGTTACCCACCCCAATGGTGAATGAGATTTTATTGCATGCCTACTGAATATCCAAACAAGTGTTTGCTGCTAACGCTGTAAATATAATTCTTATTTCAAATAATCCACTAGCATGTAACACTGTCAGAGCAAACCAATAGACTTTTCTATAGAGGAATGATAAAGCAATCCCTAAGATACTGTTAATAAGACCACCTATCTCTCCTTCATGCTGGGCCACTATTTCTTCCTTCCTATGTCCCTATATTGTATGTAAACTGAGTGATCATCTTCCTCTAGAAATTTTACAAATTACATATTGGATAATATGCACAGAGGGATAATTTATGTTGAAAACTTAAATTTTATTTAACATTCACTCATCTCTATTAGTTAATACAATAAACGTTTAAAAACTGATTGAAATTATAAATATTAATAATATTAAGCATTCATTCAATTTTGTTCAACGGCTACTGTACATCAATTAATAATCATGATCTTTTAAACAGCATGGATTTAATTCTTAATTCTTTTTAATTTTTTTTCTCCACACAGCCTCTACTTACAATCCTATCTGTATCAGACCTAGCTTAAATTGTACAAATATACATGCATAGTTTAGTGTATTGCAGGTGGAGGTAAAAAATAAGAATGTGTTTAAATGGTCATGATACTTGCCACAGCTGTACAAGTGTATGAAGACATTTTTATATGTTATAATGGCATCACTCATAAGGACATCAAATGTAATTTCCGTTTCCTTTTGCATTATTTGGGGAATTATAATTTCGAAATAGAAACTACTGTAATATAACCATTAACAAATGGCCTTCTTCAATATTATTAAGTAATATATACTTTGCAACAAATTAATATTGAAAAACAAGCAATATTATACATATATATGTAATAAACATATCATATATAAGTTTCTTACTTCCATTGCACTGCCAATTCAGTTTTATTTACCAAAAATTATATATTATTGACTGTTAGTTTTAAATATAACTTCTGACAGAAAATAAGCATGGAGAGACGACACACACGCCCCCTTGCGCTTAATTGTAGAAACAATTGATTAAGTTATACAGTATACGGAGTAAATGCATAATGTTTATAAAATTAAAGAATTAAGCTATAAAATATCGAATATTGCATGAATAGTTTATTAGAATGATCGAAATATTACTTTATGTTAAGACTACAAAAAATAAAATATTTGCAAATAAAAAAATTAAGTCAATAATAGCAAGAGCGTAATCGTAAATTAAAAAGTGTCATGGCGCTAATTGGTAATTTGAGGTGGAGAGCATATACAATATTTTAAATTAAATTTTGATAAATATTAATAATAAACGTGAAGAATTTAAAATTTTCTAGACAGATTTTAATAATTTAAAAAATGTTTAGAAAAAATTAAATAAAAGAATTGGAAGGTTACACTCAATTTCAATTGTTCTAATATGAAATTCTTTTTCTCTTTTTATTATTTTATACATTTCATTACTTTAATTTAATAATATAGATGGGTGAAAATAAAGCATAAGTGTGCTCAAAAGCATTCTTATATTATTTCAAATTTCAGAAAGAAGCTTTTACCACATTTACATGATAATTCTATTTTTATTGTATCGGATCTTATTTTATTTTATATTATTATTTTTACATATAAGAAATATAAATTTAAAATATTAATAAATAAATATAAAATGTGCTCCAAAGCGTATCGAATTACTTTTTGATATTTTAAAATACGACACCGAGAAAGTCGATTTTGAAAGTCATCCATGAATTTTTCATTTTTGGTATCTGGAAATTAGGTTCCAGTTTAAAAAGTCCTGTAATTCATACTTAATATTTAACTGTTGATTCAAAACTTTATGTATTTAATGTCTAATAAATTGACCGAGATAATATGATATCGAGCTACTTATTTCTAATCAAGGTACGATGCGCATTATCTGGTAAATGTTTCGTCGAATTACAGCGCTTATTACAATTAAGAAAGTATCGTTGGGAAATGAAAAAAAAAATCCATTGTTAGAAGCAGTGGTGTGCCGTGACATTTGATGATAGGGAAGCTGCGTTTCTGTAAGAAGTCGACTTCCAGGGGCAATCAGTTACTTGCGGCGGAGTCGGTAGATTAACCGGTCTTTCGACTACCTATCTTCGCTCGTTGCTAAAATCAACTAGAGACAAATGTTACCACCAGGGGCATTGCAATCACTTCAAGAGCGCTAGATCGAATCGCTGTGAGGTCGAATGTTTTCTTTTTATTGAAAGATATATAACCTTCGAGTTCGATTTCATAATTTTCCTTATGGATTTTATTATAAGAATGAAAAAGCTTTTATTTAAACCCAAAACCAGGTTTATGGATAAATAAATGACACTTAATAAAACATTAAACACCTTCCATCGCTGAGAAATGTTTATTTAATAAAATACGTTCGAACTCATTTACACCTGAGGATAGTTTATTCCATGAGGCTGAAAATGTTAGTGTTTTATTAAATAAACATTTCTCAGCGATAGAAGGTGTTTAATGTTTTATTAAGTGTCATTTATTTATCCATAAACCTGGTTTTGGGTTTAAATAAAAGCTTTTTCATTCTTATAATAAAATGCATATAA